ACAAAATGCAAGAGTCTTGCAAATCACAGCAATACAAATAAAATCTTGAAATTGATAAAAATGAAGGCGACACCAAAGTGTGAGATATGTGATGAAATCGAGGATCCATTACATTTAGCGATATACTGTAAGCGGTTTAGCAAAAAGAGGAGGAAATATTTCGAGGGGTCAGGACTCAATATTCTTAATACAATAAAACAGCATGGCCGAAAAGGATAATTAGAAAATTCATTAAAAATAAAATTACTGCTTTAATACATAAATAAATATAAATTTCTGGCAAAATAGAATGTTTTCTAAAATCTTAATGCCAAAAAAAAGTTATAAAAATAAAAATGAGTCTTGCAGTTACCTATTAGCTTATCTTTATTTCAGAAATTCATTACAAATTTTGGCTTCCAACAAAAAAAATATATAAATATATAGATATATATTTTGCATGTACCGCGTGCACAATTAGAGTGATCTCAGAAATATAATATTAAAAAATGTGCACATTAATAGTAGATATACATATTAATATTCAATTTAACTTGTGTGTAAAAGGTGATTTTTATTTTTTGACCAACATTTTTTTAATTACAATTTAATTATTGTTATCTATGTAAAACCGTATTCACTCAGTGAGTGATCATTATTTTTAATCGAATCAATAAACATCAAATATCAATTGAAAATTTTATTTATAAATATTTAAATTAAAATTAAATATAATAATTATTGCATGATTTTGTTGGAAAAAATTATCAATTTCAAACCCTAATATATACTACGTAATTTTGAAGCCAATTATAGCTATTAATGTAATAATTGAAAATTAATTTGTCTCGAGTGGTGCATGTTTCAGTAATTAAAAATTAATGAATCGAAAATGTATTTAGGATGGAATGACTAATTAAAACAACATAATTTCGCCGAATATTTAAGTTATTAAGTTGGGAAATAAAGTAGTGTTTATTTATAAATGAAATGTTAACATCACTAGAGATATAATTCAATGTTTATTTTATACTTAGCTATATAAAGGTAATAATTCTATTTATGTTGTTTATTTTTATCATAGTATTTACATCGTCTATCCTTCCATCCATTGCATTCCTATATAATGACCGGTTTAATATTAATATAATAATTTTAAAAACGGAACGAAAGAGAAATATAACTGATATCTTATCTTGAAATTAATTTTATAAAAGAAAATATAAATTTTAAAATCATTTAACTTAATATGATATTTTTGTTAGTAGAATTTTTAATTTCCTTTTTTTTTTTTTTAATATGTAGGACGGATTCGTTAACACTTCAAAGACACTTGGTACTTTTTCAGATTATTGATAATTGTATATATGTGAAAAAACTGTCTCTTCTTTAGGTAATTCTATTTCGTATTTGTTTTTGTTTATTCATATGTTTCTATTATTCATTTTTGTATCGAATTATTTATAATAGTGCCATAATTACGTAATTCTTTGTATAATTTTCTGTACGGTTACTATCATCAAAAAATATATTGGATGGTATAATGTGTGTATAATATGTACAATACAAGCTTTATTCTTATTATCGGATCGAATCTCGACAAAATATCAAAAGTTGTATAACAAGTAATCCTACTTTCGGTACGTATCCGGTTTAGAAAAAAAGATATGTTTGGAATATAGCTACAGTGTGAGTAAAATATTGAAACAATTAGTACTGACCTAAAGAATAAAGTGGATTAAAATATTTTTTTTAAGGAGAAACGAAGTTGGGATTTGTATTCCACAACTCGAAAAACTCTTAAATACTAATTTTCAACTCAATCTAAAAATAAAGATTTTTTCGACTAGGCTCGAATTTTTCCCGAAAATTACAAAAATTGTAATAACTTCGACCAGGCCCAACTTACCCACATGAAAATTGGCATGAATATAGGGCTCATATTATACACACAAAATGGAACAAACCAGACGTCTGCAAATAACTTAGGCTTGGAGATGAAAAATAAAAACGTTTAGGGGGTTTTCCTTGATTTATTCCTCATAAAACGTATAATAAAAAATCATAGATATGATTTTGAAGAGAAATAATTTATCTTCCCAACGGTTGTAGTAAATTTGACATAGAAGAAAATCCTGAGGAGTTATGAAAATTATACTATACAGCATGAAAAAAATCCTTCCATAAAATTAAGTAAAAAAAAAACATTTTTTAAATTTATAAACAAACTCGTATTTAACAGTTTTAGTGGACCCTAAAAACTAATCTGGATTTTTTTTTATGACAAAAATTTACGTGGCCTACTTTACTGGAAACGTCTATTTTTTTTTGTAATTTATTACATATAAGGATTCGTTTAATACAATTAGCAATATGTTTTTCCTAAATGTTTTTACACAAAAAAACAAATCGATTGATGTATAATAACATAAAAATCTATGCAGAGCAAAGACAGAAAACAGTATTACAAAAAAATAATAAAATTTTATTTTATCTAATCTATACATGATTATTTATTCATCATAGCCCTTTTTAATCTCAAAGTCTTTTATTATACATTTAAGTACACTTTACAAATATTTAAAAATTATCATTTTTTAATATTTTGGCTCCAAGAGCAATTTTCAAAAATACTTTTTAAAAAAAAAAAAAATAAGAAAGATTATTTCTAAAATTTTCTCAGTACCGATAAAATGAGGGTGATCAAAAAAGAAAGAAATTAAGGTAAAAAGTTTTTTTATTTCTTATTGTTAGGTTTGGTTTTTGTCTTGTTTTTCTCTGTAATGAAATAAATTTTGCTTAAAAAAATGAAATAGTGTTTTTGGTCTAAAAAAGTTTGTTTTAAATTATTACATTGTAAAGAAGTTGTTAATTTTTTATAAAATGTGAAGAAGGGAAATTTTGTGGATTTTCAGAAGTGAAATAAAACAAAATATTTGATATTTAATTAAACAAGTATTACCATAGATTATTATTCTATATACATATATATTTTTTTATAAATAATGTTTTTACATGACTAATGTTTTGTTTTTTTTAAAGGAAAAGAATTTTTGAAAATGACACTTGGAGCCTGAACGAAATTAAATGTTTGTAAAATTGTTTTAAATGTATAAGAAAAGACTGTGACATTAAAAATGGTATAACAATTATTGAAAAATCTCACGAAATATATGAATAACCTAACTAAAGTTGTTCATCATAAATAAAATTTTATAATTTTGCTTTTCTCATCTCCTAGGACCCGTTAGCAATAATCCTCGAATATAGGTCTTATATTTTTCGACCTAGTATCACCAAAAAAAAAAAATCATTGAAATCGGTGACCTCACTTACGAAACATTCCCTTACAAATATAGATTCAATACTACTTTTATTAATTTTATCAAAAATATTTGTCAAAAAATAAATAAATAAGTATAAAATAAAAAAATAAATAATGCAGCAAAAGTTTATTGTGTATATTTATTTTAAATTATAATTTATGTATTTATTTTAGTCAAAAGATTTAAATTAATGTCTTGAATAAACTCCTTTGTATTTTGGTTGTATTTTAAGACAATTCAAGTTAACTTCCAAATCAATCGGGAGGGCATTTTCCCCTATTCTCCCAACAATTTAGTTTCAAGATATTTTACGGACATTATGTTTTCGTTTATGTGGATGGGAACGAACCCATAAATGTTCGATAGTCCATAAAAATTTGGAGTCTGGAGAGGAATTTCGTGTTTATTCGAATAATTATATAGCGCCAATTCAAGTGAGTTTGAGCTAAGGGTTATTATCCTGATAAAATTTTAATGTTCGTTCTGTACAAATTTTTGTCTCACTAGCATTAACAGTCTAGGAAAATAACACCATAAATTAATGAGAGGAATTAGGAAAACAAGCTGAATCACATACAACACGGAGAATATTTAAGCAATATGGATTTAATGTCAGAGTAAATAGAAAATGACCACTCATAAATTTTAAGAATAGGAAAAATAGGTTTGCTTTTATCCTAAGAGTTTATGAAAAAGTGGTTACTTGAGTGATGCAATTTATTCAGACAAGAACAAATTTAATATCCACAGTGTGGAAAAAACTGCAACGGAATCAGGGAGAAGAATTTGTCAGCTACTATGTAAGTTGAAGGATGTATAGTTGTAAGAAACAGTATGTCTGCATGTAGTGTCGGAATTTTTTTTTTTATCGACGGAATAACCTAGAAGTATAACTTTAATATAAATAACTTTATATTTATAATAACTTTACACTGTAAATAATAAATTATCGTATAAATTTAATTTAAATAACAGAACAGACTTATAGGTTCGACTGTACGACCACTCGACTCTCGATAATTCGGAATCCAATGAACTACAAGAAAAAAATTAATTATTTATTAAGTTTGAATTATCACGAGGAAAGAAAAAAAAATCGAATTATTAACAGTTTTTATTATATTTATGTAAATTCGTATGCGCTTGCATACATTTTATATATACATAACCTCATGAAAAAAATATTACAAGAGAGAATTATAAAGGGAGGAAATTATCTTGTTCGAATTATAGAACGTTCTTTTCTCCTCTTGTTTCAAAAATGATTTCGAGTTATCAAGTGTATCAAAATACAGTATTTTTTCGATTTGCCGAAATTAATAGCTGAAAAGTTTGAATTATCTAAACTATATATATATATATATATATATATATATGTTTGTATGTATTTTACACACAATTTACATTCATATATAAACGTCAACACACCTTTAGAAATACACATTTATTTCCTGAAATGGAATATCTCATGATATAATAGCAGAAGTACAATACGATACATCGTTAATACAACTCTGGTTAAAAAAAAAAAATTGATTTCTTAACTCTCGACTTATATTAATAATCTTTCTGAGATACATCAATAAATATTCACAGTTTGAATAATCTACTATATAATCTGATCATGGGATTTAAATATATTAAAAAAGATATATATATATTAAAGTAAATTCAAATTCTCTAAAAAGTACTTACGCCGCAGCAAATTCTAATGAATGAAAATCCTAGGAGCTACGTCCTAGACCACAGACCCCATAACTTGCACTGACTGAGATCTCATCCAATCCCCACTACTTATGGATTGGGCAAGATCCTAAACTCAGCGCTGAGATGATTGACGGACATCGGAAATCCTTCAATGGATTAGCACTGAGTTCAGGAACTTGGCCATTCCTATAAACTATTACGAACGAAAAATTTTCGATCGCAAGGACTAAATTTTTTTAATTTATTTTTCTTTTAATGACGAGGAATAATGAGCTTATTTTAGAATTCTAAGTATTATAAATAAGAGATTGATTTTTAATTATCGATATGCTATGTTTATATTCTTATATCCTCTATTTTAAGCGTTTTTAGTTTTGTCTAAATTAATTCATCAACGTTTTAAAGAAAATTAGTTCTCTTGTTACTTTCCTACCTATATACTAGGTAAAGAAAGTATTACGATCGAGTCAAATTTCCGATATGCAGTCTTCGATGGATCTAACGTTTCAGAGCCCTCTGAGTCCGAAAAACAAATTTTTAGCCATTGGTCTGTCCGTGCCAAGATTTTCTCGGGAACTAGTGAATCGATTTTGTTGCTTCTTTTTTTATTTTGTAGGGTTTTGACTACTAATGCCTGTGACACGAAGTAGGTGTTCCATGCGCAATAGCTGTTGCGCAATAAATAAAAAAGATGTTTTTCTTTAAACAGTAGCGCAAAAACGGCTCTAACGATTTTGATGAAACTTTCATATAATATAATAATTGTCTGTTCCATTTTGTATATGAACTGAATTCCCGATAAAATTCAGGTGAAAAAGTTATAAAGAAAAAAAATGTTTTGGGACCTAACTCGCTAAGTATGAATTCTATGATAAAATTTATAATAAAACTTTTGAAAGGTAATTAAATTATCAACAAAACAAAAAAAAATCCATCGTAATCGAACCAGTATTAGCGATGATACAGCGCATTCTACTTTCCCCACATGTTTTAATTTATTACTTTTCTACCTATACTAGGTAAAGGAAGTATGGCAATCGGGTTAAATTTTCGATATGCGGTTTTCGACGGATCTAACGTTTAAGAGCCCCCTGAGTTCGAAAAACACTGTTTAGCCTGTTTTTTTAGTAAGGTAATGTCAATTTCTAATGTAAGATTACGGGTTCATATCCTGGTATCAGAAAGGGGTAAATGAGAGAAAAAAGATAACTAAGTGAAAGTAAGGAAATCTGTTTCCCGCATCACACAAGCTTTATTACTATTTTGGAAGATGTGTTGGGCAGAACATAGGAAAATGTTAAAAGACAAATGAATTCAGTGACACAAAAGAAGAAACAGTGCATATAGAAAAAAAGGTTAGCTTGCCAATCCATACTTGACTTTATTTTAAAATCAGTGTTTAATTTTAGTATAAATAATAATAGTTTGCCTGAGTGTTTTGATCTGATTGTGATTAACCCACACCTGAGATAAATAAATATATTAATACTCTTATAATTTTGTTTATTATTTAACAACCTCTTACTTATTTTGGAAGTATAAAGTGATCTTCCACAAGGTCATATTATTATTTGTAAAATAATAATATTACAATATATTTATTGATAGATAAATAGAGAGATATTACAATATATTTATTATAAATAACAACTTCACGAGGGATCATGTGTAAAGTCCGTGGTACAGACCCATTTTTATAAAATGAATAACATCAGTCTAAAACTTCGTGAATAGCTTCATCTCGTCGTAGCCTACAACTTTTTTTATTTACGGAAATTATTCGAATTGGGGAGTTTTCAATCTGGCGATCGGCAAACTTTTATATTTAATTAGGTACTAAACACTCATGTACACCCATTTATTTTCCACTTAAATCGTAAGATAATTTTATCACAACATCGAGAATAAAGGTGGCCTACAAAAATATTAGGCCGTTTGATGACCACTTCCACCCCCAAGATGTCAAAATGGCGAGGTTATATAGATCAAACGACCCTATATTTTTTTCGATTATGTGATAAAATTATCTTGCGATTCAAGTGGAAAGTAAATGGATGTTTGCTAGTTTTTAGTACGCAATTAAATAAATTTTTAATGAGAAAATGCCCCATTTCTGGGAATTTTCGTAGATAAAAAAATTGTATGTTACGATAAGATGAAGCCATTCCCGAATTTTTAGGAGGATGTGATAATAATTTGATAAAAGGGGGGTTTTACCACGGACTTTACACATGACCCCTCGTGAAGTTGTTATTTATAATAAATATATATCTATTGAAACAAAATTACATAACTGAGCGTAGTAAGGATCAATTAAAGAGATTTTTTTTCTCAATATAGAATTTTGGTTAAAATCGTAGGGCAAAATAAAAATATTTTTCTCAAAATAGTACAATCATCCCCCAATGAATAGTAAATACCCACATAGAAACGTATTAATCATGTGTATTAATTCAAAAGAAATATTACCATAAAAATAAACTCTGGTGTGCTATATTTCCTCATAGCCGGTTTTCTTCTATCGATGTTTTATTTGTTTGCTTGTTTATGTACCTCAGCTTGCATCTTGTATGGATAAAAAATATTCAATGTAAGGTACTTCATTATAGCATTCAGGCTACAGGATGCCTAACGCACACACGCGGTCTCGGAGAACCGAAACGCAAACAAAAATCACAGAACAATGCACCTGGAGGATATATAACTATAGAAACCACTGGAATCTTTGGTCCTGAATTAAAATCTCCAAAGTTACATTAAAACAGGAAAATAAAACACTCATATATCAATGTAATCAACTTTATAATACTAAAAATCGCAGCTAATTAACATAAGGAAATAGAGAAAACATAAAAACTGTATTGTTTAGTTGATACGACATATTATTATTCATATTTTAAATATGCTCATACTAGACTGAAACGACAAGAAACCGCTCGACGTTTCCGATTACTTCAGCACTTACTAGACAAACGTTCTAATCTTCCAATTAATTATAAAAGACTCATATACTTGACTATAATAAGACCTATTTGGACTTACGGAGTTGAGCTATGGGGCTCCACTAAACCATCGAATTCCTCTCGTATCAAATCCTTACAATCCAAAATCCTTCGTAAAATCCTCAATGCTCCCTACTTTGTTACAAATAAAACCATCCATAATGATCTTAATGTTCCTTTTGTTTCAGATCTGGCCCAATCCAGATACCTATCCTTCCATAATAAACTTTAGAATCATCCCAACCCTCTCGTTTCTAACCTTGCTTCCTCTTCAACTCCTGATAACCCTCCGAGGCGTCTGAAAAAAAGATGGCCCCGTGATCTCCTAATGTAAACATATCATTAGAGTGCTACCATTGGGTAGTTACTCAGCAAGTGTTTTTCATGTCATTACATACATTATGTTCTTATTTACTAGATGTATTTATTTAATACAGTAGTAAATGTCTTTAAGAAATAAAAAAAAATATTTTAAACAATTGCGAATCTATAATCAAATATGTTAAATTACACATAACTACATACATACCCTTGAAGGATTTCTCGAGGAAGCTGAGACTGGAAATTAAAGCAGACAAGACAATGTAACATAGAAATTGCATCAATTATTTCTTTTGATATATTGATAACATTGATTCCATTGAATGTTTTTCTTTACTTATTAAGGTTGCAAGAAAACTTTAACAAAGTTTCTCAGTTCAGTTTTAACTAATGTCAGGAAAAAAAGAAACCGTCCTCGTCAAAAAACATTAAAATTGTGACGTTATATGAAGTAAAAGATTTTTCACGAAAAATAGTAACGAGGATAGGGTAGCACCAGTCAACGTTATTCATAATTTTGAAAAGAAAAAGAGAGAAGAAAAAAAAGGCACCATGAAGCGAAAGAAGGTAACTTTGAGGAGAAAAAACCCAACGAATAATTTTACCCTTAATGGTGCGATTGTTTTTATAATATTGTTTCATAAAGAAATATCCGGAGATCTTGCAGTAGCAATCTGGTCAATAAACTGAAATTTAATAAAATTTTGTAATTTTGCAATTTCTATGACCGTGACTGTACATGTGGACATATAGAATGTACTAGATGATAAGAGAAAGAACAAAAACTGGTAAATCCTAAACAAGAGCTGATAGTGCCATTATTTGAGAGAAGATGAAGAAAAATAAATTTTATTTTTATATAATAAATAAATAAGTCTCCTTAGAATAAATACAATGTACAATTTAATGACAATTGTCTGGCATCAGGAATAAATTAAATAACATGATTATCTACATCTATGATTACAATAAAGAAAAGGCACTGTTAGATATATGAAATCATGGATCAATTCAGATATGCGAGTTCACAAATTTGTACACATAAACAATGTGGGTGATATATAATTATCTGCCAGATAACATTAAGGCGACTGACAGATCTGAATAACGTGAACATTATTTTACACATATTCGGAAGATTGATTACTGAGGAGATGGATAGATAAATTATGTTTAAACGAAGTTAACGATGACGATTTGCGTATGGAGGTTGATAAAGAATTTCAAAACAAGGTAGCACTCATGATGAAGGATTTTTTATAGGAAACAATTCTATGAGAAGGAATAAACAGGTTCGAGGGCTGGGATCTCGAGTTGAACGAATGGGCGGAGGAACAAGGCCAGTATAGCAGCAGAAAATCTATCATTCATTATAGGATAGAACTGAAAAAATGTATTTTATAAAAATCGATTATAAGACCAATCCTGAGTGTGATACATGGTTTATGACTAAAGAAACAAATGTATCCTCCAGATATGGACAAGAATTTATGGGTCAATCAGATTGGAGGATCAATACAGATTCAGGACTAACCTAGAGTTGAACTCTACAGTAAACTAGACCATTGCGCAACTTATTAAAACCAAAATAAAATGCGATAGTCGGGGCATATGGAAGAAGGCTGATATAGAAGAAGCACTCTATGGAAAATCAGGGGGTGGAAGAAAGCATAGAATCCAGACGGCTGAACAATATTTGTTGAAGAAACATTTTTATTTTTTAATCAAA